GCATCTTGAAAACCGGACTACAAATGTGGATAGACAGGGAGAAACACACGCAAGCCTAAGACGTGGTAAGATACGATATTCCTCACTATATGAAGTGACTGATAACAAGATCTGTATAATGGATTGTAAAGAAATCCGTCAGGTTTTTATTTTGTAGACATTTGATCTGGATTTATAGCGTGATGGGATGACAGCACAATGATGTGTGTGGTGTCATTGGAAAGCTCTGCTCCTGCGCTTTCATGTGATATGCGTGGCATTTCTGTGCGAGCCTGCATTCGCGAGTAATCCATCCAAGAGTAATGTGTGTGCAAAGCTGTATGAAAGCTCTGTTATACATAATTTTAGTGTAACTTTATCTTTTTTTTTCGCTGTAAAAACATTCAGAAAGCTACGATTCCGCTGTTTCACGTGATATGCGTGGCTTCTCGCTATGACGCACGGTCGCGGAGAAACACCATAGAGAAGAACAGGTGTGAATTTGGACGCACTATGCGTCGTTCGGGCCCGTAGGGTTAAATATAAATGGAAAAAATACAAATTAAAACATGATTGGATGTGCAAATATACTAAGTGAACTGTTAGGACTTCCCACAGCTCCTCTTACCTCTTTGCTGTCTCTCTGACACAGATGTTCTTGAGCCTGTTGCACTGATTCTGGATGGACTCCTTGGCCTGCTGCTGCTGCATTTTCCCCAAAAAACGGGACAAATTGTGTCCCGGGAGAGATTTTTTTTTTCCCAGGACAGCTGATGAAAAAAGAGAACAATTCTGGGAAAAACGGGACGGGTGACAACTCTAATATTAGGAAGTGCATAGCAGCTAACTATGCTACATAAGGTTAAAATGTAGTTAATCATTGTTTTTATCACTAGCGCCAAGAGGAAAACAAATCACTGTGCATGCGCAGAATGTTCTTCTATGGTGTTTGACATATGGCGTATCGCCACCTACTGGCCTGGCATGCTAATTGCAGCAAAAAGCTGCTGTTTTTGCGTTTTCTTGTACACAGGGATATCGTTTTCACAACTGATCTTGTAAACCTGGATTTTTTTTTAAACGGGATAAATAAAAGTCTGTTTTTATTTGTATTGGACCGTGTAAACAAGGCCTAAATTGAAGTTGTCGCAGACACACATTCTGCTCCCCTTCTCTCTCTCGTCTGCTCCTGATAAATTTCCATTCACCTGCACCTTGCCAGCCTTGTCATCAGCACTCCCTGCATATAAGCAGCTGCTGCCTTTCCCTCAGTGCCAGTCCCTTTTCCCTGTTACTGATCCTGCCGGCTCCTGACCTGTCTACGTCGTCTGTTTCACGGTAAACTCACCAGCCTTCTGTCCCTGCATCTCTGGTTTCCATCTGCCTGTGGCTGTGTGGTGTTTTCCTGCCATGACGTTTCAGCGTGAGTGTTCCCACCTGTGTGTGTGTGTGTGTGTGTGTGTGTCCTTACTTCTTTTACCAACCTTTCAGCTCCTCAATCCATCGCCTGGCCGCTACTTTCCTGCTACTCATCCCACGTTGACTCTGCTGCTTTGCTGGACTACTCTTCTGATTTTGGACCCCTCCCCTTCTCATCCACACCATCAGTAAGCCCCTCTTTGATATCACTGCCTGTTGTCAGAACAAACTGTTCAGATCAGAGGACTCACATCCTTGCTCTTGTTCCCACTTCCGAGTTTGGCCTTGGTCCATTCCCTGGACCCTGAACCCAGAGCCTGTGTGGGCTCTGAGCCCCAAGAATGAACTCTCAGCTCATGAGCCTGTTACCTTGTGTATAAATAAAAGTCCTTGCTAACTGTCACTGAGTGCTGCATTTGGGTTCAATCACAGACATTACAGAAGTTGCTGTTAATTTGAACAAATGTATCAATAGTGAAAATATGAGGCAAGGCAAGTATTGCCTATAGTGTCCTATAGCACCTTTCAACAAGAAGGCTATCCAAAGTGCTTTACATAAAGCACTGATGATTGCTTCATCGCTTTTCTAAAGCTTTAGAGTTCAAAGAACAGTGTGGTGACAGTAAAGAAATGGAACAATTGGTTTACATTATAGAGGAAATAAATATGAAAATGCATGTATACTATATCACTGCAGTTTTTGAGAAAGTAAAGCTTATGCTTTGACGCCTGTGGCATTTTCACTCTGCGGACCCATTTCTCCCCTGCATTTTATGCTCTACTATCTATATTTCATTCAATCAAACAAAGAGCAGTATTGGTGCAATGGTTGATTTTTTTCCTCTATGTTTTGGTCTCTCGTCCACACGCAAACAGAATTTTAGGTCACTTAGATGAAGACTGCTGAAGACGCCTTCTAAGCTGCAGATCTTTCAAAAATCTGGCATCATTGTATCTGCAAGTGTTAGGTTTTGGTTTCTGGCTGGACCCCAAAGCAGAGGTGGAAGCAGGTTTATGGAAACAAGAATTTATTGACAAAGGAAGAAAAAACAAAATTTGCAGGCAGTGGAGGCAGGGTGCTAACTGGCTGGGAGGTTGTGCACCAGTGAAGAAAGATGGATCTCTGGAGATGACACAAAAGTGACACAGAATTATCTGGCAGAGTTGTGGAGTGAAGACCAGGAATATGTAGGCTGGTTGATGAGCTGAGTGGAAACAGGTGGGGCTCATCAGCTGAGCCAGCCACGCCCCCTGCCACACACAAGCCTGGCAGGAACAGGAACAGAAAGGGAAGGGTGAACACACAAAAATCCACCCAAAAACCAAAACCAAAACAGAATCATCACATGTAACCACATGTTACAGGGACTGTTTGGCCAACTATGATATAATTTCCTCAATTTGCAAATTTGCACATGTTCAGTGTTGCTTTGTATGTGTAATGAACAAGCAGCAGTGTGGACTACTGGTTTGTTAATAATACTTTTTCTAATACTTTTTAATCGAATGACAACTTACAATTAAATTTACTACTTTTGTCATTTGCTTGAACATTGTCCGTTCAGAAGTGTTTTAAAACAGTTCGCACACGGGGCTAACCTTAAAAGTCGCTGGCACATTTTGTTTGCAAAATGCTCTCACATTCACATAACATAGAAAACATGTAAGAAAAGCAAATATTTCCATCAAACAACATAACTTGTCGTCAAATTGATATATCCTTCAGATCAGTTGTTACACAATGGAGAACAAAATACAGCTATCAATATGAATCGGTTTAACCTTAATTTGCGTTATATGCCTGTGCCATTTGTTGATACTTTGCCTATAGTATAAGTAGGCTATATTACAGCACAAACTGTACTCCTCTCTCCAATGATGATTTTATGAGAACAAACCCTGCTGCAGTCTGCACCTGAACTTTTTACACTATTTTGAGATGCCCAGATGAAATACTGTTAAAAAAAAAAACAGTTTTCTTCATTCGTTTTTATTTCTTTCGTGCAGGTTTTTCCTTTGAGGCCTACAGTAAGCACCTAAAGTATGACCTATGTTGCACTAAAATAAGCATTCATTGTAGTACAGACAGAACAGATTTTGTGCTGCATTCTTTATTCACAAACACACCAATAAAGAATGCCACCCAAACTCATAAATTTAAATACTTGTCTCGTTTTCGTACTTTTCAAACTGAGAAATGCTGAATAATGGTCTCTTCCTCTCTTTACATGCATTTTCCCTCTTTGATCCATGCTTACAAATAGCAACACAGAGGTGGAAGCTTTTATAGGTGGATGCGGACTGACTTCTCAAATTGTACAAAGACGTTTCACACAGGTGCATCGGAGATTCATAATTATGCAAGTAATTTCTATGAGCTGTAAATAGATGTTTTCATTTTGTTTCACACAGTTAATCCAACAGACTTTTGGGTCTTTTTTATGAGATCTGTGTTGACAGTCTTGAAAAAAGGTGTGAAAAAAGTGTGAAACCAATGAAAACGTGTTAAGACAATTGTAAGAGAGGACCTCTGCTATGCTGAGAAGGTGATGATGAAGATCAAATGGATTCCAGTTTCATTAAGCATGTCTTAGCGATAGAGAAAAACTGTAGTATTGCTGCACCACTTCATGGACGAGCGGTCTACCTCAGCATCTGTGGTTTACAGTCCGATGAAACAACAGTTTTGCATCATCAGGCCCGGTCAAACTAGTGAATGGTGGGACAATGTCGAGAGTTGGATTGTTGTCAGTGAGGAGTGAAAGGGGATCTTACACATGTCCAGAGCATCACTTGTTTTTTTTTTTTTTAAATATGCTCCCTTGTCTGTATATCAAATCAATGGTGATGAGATCTCCAGTAGGTGCTCTGAAAAGGTAACATTAAATCTGTACACTTTTTGTGATAAGGGGAGACTCCATATAAATACGTATATAAATAACTGTGTTAGCCTGACTCAAAAAGTCCAGGACCATTTTCATTCCCTGTCCGTCCCTGGCAGTAGGACCCTCTTTCACAGTTACTTGACATCAGTTTGATAATCAGCCTTATGCGGCTCAAACTCTGCCAATTAATATAACAAAAGCTTCACAGTCAAGTTATTTTTATGTTGCTTGTAGCTGTTGATACACTGAAAGGTCCTCTCCTATAATTCTTCACAAACACTCACAGAAAGAGACGCAGAGACTGAGGCAGCAAGGCCTTTATTAGCTCCATCACCAGGGCTTTAATGTGACATTTATCTGTCGTTCATTACCTCTATCAGTAAAGGTCAGACTCGTGCATGTGGGCCCTTTCAGGTGTTTGGGCCCCTTACCCCACATGCTATACCCAGGAGCACACAGGGACATTACTTCATTACTCATGGTGAGAGGAATCGCATCTTTGACTTTACTTATTGGACAAAGGAGAAAAGGAGGGACACGGGGAATTCATGACATTTGCAGTGAAGAGGTAAAGCACACAGAAATCTCCACTGGCTTCTCCTTAGAAGGCTTCTCTTTGAGGTGGGAAGGCAGGGAGATGATGATGGTGGTGGTGGTGGTGGTGGTGGTGGGGGGGTGATGGAGGCAGAGCTTCCTGTCTGTCTCTCTGCATCCCAGTGCGCTGAGAGATAATTGAGCGCAGTGAAAGCCGAGCATTCATTCAAGGACCTTGACTGGCGCTGCTGAAGCCTCGAGGCTCAGGAGTGATTCAGCAGCGAGCAGGAGATAGACGGGAAAGTAAGACCGAAAGAAAGGAGAGAATAGAAGAACAGGAAAAAAAAGAGGAGGAGGAGGAGAGCGTGAGTTGCGCGCTCCATTGGCGCCTTATTTCACTGCTGAACAACAAAACTATGCGAAAGAGGATTTTCAACCCATGAAAACTTCTCTTCTCTTTGCCAAAACCTCAAGCATTTACTCCAAATCCACCAAAACTTTGGACTTCATCGGATATTGCGGATACGTCGAGCGCACCGGAGCTATCCAGGGGTGTAGCCGTGCTGATTCTGGTGCGTCTTTGCGCTGGTAGAGGCTGCGAGTGTGTGTGAGCGTGTGTGTGTGTGAGAGAGAGGTGGTGGAGGATCAGCCGGAGTGGCCGACCAGTCAGAAGGATGCTGGAGGGCAATGCCTGCAGAAAGAGAGGATGAGATTTGTCGAAAGGCGCTGGAACTGCTCTCCGACCTGTGCTCCAAGGGAGAGGTACAGGACGACCACTGCCTGGATTTCATTTACTACTTCAGGGACCTGGCCAGACCGCGTTACACGGACTCAGGTCAGACTCCACAATCTTCTCTCTGAGACTTTAAAGTAGACTGGATTTTTATTACAGGAACCTGCAGCTGTCCTAAGAATAATCTGAGTTGGATGGTGAAACTGATGATCTCATCGCGAGCTGTAGGGGCTGATAAGAGTGAATTTTTGTTTTTATAAGAGCATTCAGCACTTTAATCTCAAACACACACCACTTCTCTTAAACTTTACAAAGTAGGATTAAAGAGAAATATGATGAAATGTGAAATTTTATCCTTATTCTGTCCTGATAATGTATCCCCTTGCAATGAAAATGGACACACTGATTTGCAGATTTGAGGGAGCCTTACATTAACAGGTGTGTGCATGTGGTTTTTCTTTGTCCACCGGTCTGAAAAGAAGAGAAAAATCTTCTCTTCTGCAAAGAAAAAGCAGCATAACACACACCACACTGTTTCACAATATTCTCTGCTCACTAAAGGTGAGAAGAGTGTGATCTGTGAACTTGTTGCTTGCATCCATTTGCACCAGCAGAATCTACAAAGCATTTCATATATACAGCACATCTGTGTGTTTCTTTGCAAATCCACCAATGTCCTCCATCCTTTCCTGAACCGACTGAAGTGTGTAAGTGTTGGTTTCTCTTTTACTGTGGCTGGCTGGAGAGAGAGAGAAAGAGCCCCACCCGATATTCCCCGTAGCTCCCAGCACTTTGCAGACATGGGTCTAGGAAAATAATGAAGACCAGTGATCTAATCCAACTAGTTCCTGCGTGGAGAAGTTGGCTGGGATTTCTTCAATATTGGCATTATAAATCTAATCAGCCAGGAGGAGACCAGTCTGAAAAACATTCTGGTGAACTTTGAAACTTTAAAAAGGCTCAGTTTGTACTATGACATTATATTTATATTGCACATTACATTGCAACAATCCTTAGAAAAACTGATGGAATATTACAGGGATATCTCTCAGGGACCGTCCCTAAATACCAGAAATGTGAGTTATTTTCTTTATGAAAAATTTGTCAAAAACCAGTCATCTCTACTGTACTGTGATAAATCTTCAGTACAGAGTGTTTGCACGTGTGTGTGTGTGTGTGTGTGTGTGTGAGTGTGTGTGTGTGTGGTTTGGGAGTGCATATACATATCAGAGCATGTAGGCTACTTGATTATATTTCCTATGCATATATGGTCTACAGTGTATATACAGTGTGAGCTTCTTTGTTCCTTTATACTCTCCTCTTTCTGTGAATGTGTGTGTGTGTGTGTTTGTGTGTGCATGATTGTGAGTGAGTGTTTACGTGTATGTTGGCTTTTGTCAATAGCAGCTGTGGCTGGGCCGCTGCCTTTAAACATGTTACAATCCATCATTAAACATGTATGATGAAGAGGAAGTTCAAGCTACCAGAGTGGTTCCCCTGAGGAGCTATGACCCACTTTCTCTTGTATTAGACTGCTCTAAATGCACACATCCACACACCCACACACCCACACACACACACACACACACACACACACGCACACAGTGTGATCCACAACAAACAACTATCTCTAAGTGGAGAGACTGGAGCCTGGCTACTGGTCTCTGGTACTGGAAGTTTTTGGAGTTTCACTTTTTTGCAACAGTTTTAAATAGGCTCCATCTAAACAAGTGGTTTCATGCTCAAAGACAGACCCACAGGAGGAATCAGCTCCTCTACTTGCACCATAACAGACACGTAATGGGCCCACATGAGACCATGATGCGTACTTTTTTGCGTACCACAAATGTACAAAGTAGTTCTTGGTCATTGAAGGTGAAAATTACCACCAATCCATCCTGAATTAAATGTACAGTAGCAATCTTCCAAGCATGCAGTACGTGCTACAGTAGGCTATTGCCAATAAATATGTGAATGAGTTTCTTATTTTAATGATCAGATGCAAAACAGAGAGGTTTGCCCAAGTTCAACAGCAATATTGGCATACTGTTCGGTCTATCAACCGAAAAATCTGCCTTGAAAACTTGATATAAAGACTTTGTCATGCTTTCAGTTTGGTTTCACATTCTATTGAATGGAGTTACACTTGTTTACAGGAGGGATGCCGGTGAGGGATCACTCCAGTAGAGGGAACTCTAGTTGCAAGTGGTTGTTGTGTGACATTCATTTAAAACACGTAATAATCATGACAGTTACAGGGTCAGGCAGTTCTAATGCACTCTTTGTACGTTAACCTATGAAAAATAATGCACCAGAGTTTGAATATAACCCATGTTATTTGGAAGGCTGCGATCACGTGACCAATGTGCTGACGAGGGCATAGAAGCAAGAATATAATGTATAAAGACGAAAAGTCCTCGTAATGAGGCAGGCTGGTAGATGGATCAAACAAACACATGACTTTCCCCCAGGAGACCTGTGTTCATTTTCTGTGTGAAACCAAGTGAACTCAAAGCCCAGTTCAGACCAAAGATTCGCGATGAGACAAAACCGTTTTAGTACATTGCAAAGGAAAGTGGTGTGAACTGGCCGCCTGAGCTCGACTCAAACTGGCTGATGGTGTCACCTGCAACTCCGCTGGTCAAAGCACCAGCAGCTGATTTTAGAACGTAAGGCATGTTGCTTGTTGCTACATCCAATCAGCTTGACCGCAGATGGCCTGTTTGCCTGCTGTGGCAGGTGCTCCGTCCCCACTGAGCCCTCTGTTTACGTACTCACGTGTCGGTTGCTACTGCTGTCGCTGTCTGTCCTTATGCCCCCTCACACACATTCTCATTGACTAATTAATTTATGCTGCCTACTTATATTGTTGTGACGAATTTATTATGAATACAGTCCATCTGATGCTCGTTTTATGTTTTTTGCCGTTCATCACTACTACAAATGCAACTATAGCATCTCCCTATCACTACCTTCATTCTTATTTTAAGTAGCTACAAATTATATTCAGCCACAAAATAAGCCTGAAGAGCTGGAAATCAGAACAGAAGTACAGAGAGTTGCTGCATAGAGATGATACATTGTCTCATCTAGTTGCATTGGTGTGATCGGCACATTAAGTACATAACGTGATGACACTCATCCATGTTTCTTGAACCTTACCTTTAGCTTTACTTTCCGAAACCTAAGTGATATAACTTTGCATTGCCATTCATGGGCTCTTTATTTGTAAGATTTAATACAAACCATTGTATTTGAATTTTTGTAAGATATCTATCTTCTTGAGAATATGTTGGCAGGGTGGTGTCTTTTCACTGATAAATTTATCAAGAATCTTTAGCAAATGCATTAAGAAGCAATTTTGAATTAAACATATGTAACAAGATTTTATCTGGAGAAAACATATCCCTGAAGATTTGCAGCAAGCATCAAGTAGCTACGGCTCAGTACACTTTAACCAAACTGACAGAGAGGCATAAAACATAAATAACGATGAAAAATACATACACGTGAATTCACAGTCAACTTGATATGACAGCTCATGTTGCAAAGTTGCATGCTGAACTCCCTTATCAAGTCTATGTGCTCATACAGACCTTAAAACACTTGAAAAAACTTAACTCTAAATGCTACATATTAACTTTACTGGTATTTTACTGGCCCCCTCCAGCCAGTGTTACTTCCTACTCAACGGCTAACATTCTTTCTCAAACTGAGAGTGGGGTTGTGGGTAAAAGTTGGACATAATCTATTGCCATGGCAACCAGATTGCAACTACAGTACCTTAGAAAACAGCGATATGGCACTTAATTTAATGAATTTACTGTTTATCAGACCACAAATGAGGCAAGCATTAGCAAAAAGCACCAACTCTGTCTCTCTCCCTCACTCTCTTCTGTACTGTCTCCTCCTGCTGCAGCTGTTGATTGTTTTAGATGTGAGGCGCCGTTTGGCTGCTGCACCGAGGAGATGCACCACCACATGCTGGCTGAATAGACATGCTGCTGAGGTCTGCTGTTTGAAATGCAGTTATGGGACATTTTGGAGGTGCAACATCCACCAGCACTGGCTTCCAGCACAGAAACCACACTGAGCAGCACTGTGATTCTTTTTACCTTTTTGGTTTCTATGTGACTTTTCTCTTGTTGCTGCATGGAGATGTTCTGCATGTCTGGGCTTAAAGTTGTGCGCTTACCAGCGTCTGGTCCTGTTAGAGGCTGGTGTTGGTGGACTGTGTAAAGCTACTGCCCCCAAAGTGTATTTCAAACGGCAGACCTTGGCCAGGAGATAGTAAAGAAGAGAGCCAGTGAGAGAGACAGTTGGTGTGTTGTACTATTTCTGCCGGTGTGATTTCTGCATTGATTGCACCCATTTACTGCACATGCAAATACCAATATGATATTTAGCAGAATGGAGCGTGAGATGGATTGGCGGTTTGGTGTGGCGTTTGTAGTGATGCAGGCGCTGTCATAGTAAAGAGAGAGCTGAGCCGGAAGCTGAAGCTTTTGATTTACTGATCCATCTATGTCCCAACCTTTAGCTATGGTCATGAGCTCTGGGTAGTGACTGAAAGAACGAGATCGCAGACACAAGCAGCCGAAATGAGTTTCCTCCGTGGGGTGGCTGGGCTCAGCGTTAGAGATAGAGTAATGAGCTCGGCCATCTGGAGGGAGCTCAGAGTAGAGCCGCTGCTCCTTAGTATCGAAAGGGGTTCCGTTGAGGTGGTTCGTGCACCTGATCAGGATGCCTCCTGTGCGCCTCCTGTTAGAGGTGTTCTGGGCACATGCCACTGGTAGAAAGCCCCGGGGCAGACCCAGGCTGGAGGGATCACATATCTCATCTGGCCTGGGAACACCTTGGGGTTCCACAGGAGGAGCTGAAAAGCATTGCTGGGGAGAGGGATGTCTAGGGTGCTTTGCTTGGCCTGCTGCCCCTACGACCTGGCCCCAGATAAGCGGATGAAAATGAATGGATGATGAGAACTATAATAAAAAAAAGATATTTTGTTTCAAGAAATGATATCAATTATCATTAAAATGCCAAAAAATACTTTGGAGGGGGGCTTAACTGGGTTAGCAAATCACTATAGCCACCTCCACTGT